GGAGGCTTTTAATTAGGGTTCTATATCAATGTCTTAATTGAAATAGTTAAAATTAGTTACTTCAAATTTATCGTGTATAACACAGAAAATGTTTGGTATTCAAAACTACGTCTCGACAATATATTTTATGAAATCCTCTCTTTGAAATATGTGTGTCGTCGGAAAGATAGGACTGGAATTTGCGGTTAGCTATTTAAGTTTCATATAAAAATTTATACGTGGTTATATTTTTATGAAAATTCTTATGTTCAAAAAATAATGATGGAAACAAATCGAATAAAAACATTTTTATGTTTAAATAATCGCGTTATTTAAAAGTATTAAAACCAAGGTAATAAAGAAAATGAATTCGGAGTTGGTTCATAGCGGGTTCCGTTTTGCACCCTTTACCATTCGTAAACACGAAGGTAACGTTTATCGAAACTCGCCCTCGTGCATATAAAAAAAATTCCTTCAATCACACACACACACTATACCAGTGTTTTTACTGTTTTCCGACATGGAAAAATTCTTTATTCGAAAAAATCGCTTTGCATGCTAAAAACGACACGTTCCGCGAAAATTTAGTCCACAATTGCAAAAAATGAACCAAAATATTTTTATTACTTGTATCAATGTTGTTAAAAGATAATGGATTTTTTTTCAAAATGTGGGTGGTGCTTTTTATAGAAAAAAGCGTTTATTGATTGTCTATGCGATATCTATTTTTGGTTGGGAAAAAGTTAAGCTTCACGATGAGACAAACAAGTCGTATTTTATAATAAAAGTAGTTGTTTTCACGACTAATTTTTAAAACTGGGTGTGTCCTTGATGTGGTGTGTTGAATATCGATTTGACATTATTCATATCGCTCAATAAACTTTTAAACTTTCTTTTCAAATCAAAAAATGTTTTTTCTTTATAATTTTAAAAAGTATAAGAAATTAGATTTTAAAAATAAAATAATTAATAAACACCCGTCATTTTTAGTGGTTGGTGAAAAGAAAACTTTTCACACCATACAAAAAGAAATGTAAAAGAGGCACGAACTTAACTACTCTCCCCTGTGGGCATGTAACCGTAACACCACTTCATTTTACACTTCTAATTATCTTGCCAACCCTTTCTTTTTTACATTAACGCATTCGTTAGTTTAATTAAATAATTACAACACCCAGCCATTCTTTAAATTTAAAAATTTTGGTGAATTAACTTATCTTTTTTAAATAAAAACGTTAGCGATTACTTGATATGTAGTTTAATTTAAAGTTAAAATAAGCTTTTAATTAAAGTACTTTTATTTAAGATTATTTTACTTTGAATAAAATGGTTTTCTCATTTAAATCACCTTACAAATTAAACCTTCGTTGGCAATGGATCCGTTTCTTTTCTACTTGTTAATTAAATCATTTCTTTTTTTATGTTAATTTAATTTAGAATTTAGATAGATTTTTTAATTAAAAGATTGCTTTTAAAATATTTGAAGTAATAGTATTATAAAATCTTTGGATATCTCTGAACTTATTGAGTCAAGGAACAACATCGTCATAAACAAAAATAGATCAATATTAGGTAATATTACAAGTTGTTTACATGTTTGATTTCTTAAATCTCAACCCACAGTAGATAATCGATTCCAAGTTCTGTGCGTCAGAGATCACTCAGCTACTATTTATATTATCTCATGCAACCGGTGTATCTAACTTAAATAGATGAACTCGTAATATAAATTGGTGAACTTGTAATATAAATTTGGAGTGCAAATTAAATATTTTATTCCAAAATAGTCCTAACAAGATTTTACCAGCAAACAAATTATTGTCAAATGCAATACCTAATGAATTTTGAAAAGAGATCGTTGTAAAAGTCTACAACGTGATTTCCTAGAATAGTGTTTCTCAACCTGTGGTGCGCGTAATTGTAATTGTTAATAAGTAATTGTTTTCTGAATGATGCCGAGTATTTTTATTACACAAAACGACAATAACTTAAAACCTACTTTATTTAAATTTTGAAACATTACCATAAAATTATAATTTGAAAAACTACTTGCGCCGCCATCTAACAATGGGTAGCTTATGCGGTGGATGAACAATTATTACAGTATTTATCCTGGTGTGTTAGGAAGGGTCCCCGAACTGTCTCTGTATTTTTATTATCGTAATATTCTTTTGAATCAGTTCCCAGTTTGCTCTCAAAGTGAAGAGTGCTCTACTTACTTTTCTAATTATTGTAACTTGTTTTTTTAAACATGGATCAATGGTTAAAATTTGGCACTCTTAAAAAAAGAAAAATTACTGGTTTGGTAAGTGATCCTCCATCATCGAGTACCAGTCCTTGTGAGGAGCAACCTAAGGTTAAGCTTCCAGTCCAGTTCTCCAACCGACAAAAGTAAGAAAATATAGTGAACAGTATTTGTCCTATGGATTTTCATTCGTAATTATTGATAGCATCCCTAGACCTGAGTGTGTTGTTTGTGGGGAAGTACTATCTACCGGTAGTATGAAGCCTTCATTACTTAGTCGTCATTTGCAAACCAAACACGTAGATTTCAAAGATAAAGGTCTGGCCTTTTTTAAGCGTTTGCTCGAAAATAAAAATAAGTCGAATATAGACACGTACTTAACTTCTGGTTGTACCAATGAAGATGCTGTTGAGGCCTCCTATCGCATCAGTTACCGTATCGCCAGAAATGGTAAAAATCACACGATTGGTGAAAATTTGATTTTGCCCAGCATTAAAGACGCAGTTGTTTGCATGTTCGGTAATGAGTATGTTCAGAAAATTAATGCTATTCCTCTCTCCAATGATACTGTGTCTCGTAGAATCAAGGAAACTTCTGATAATATGGAGGAGACGTTGATAAAGGAAATCAATCGCAGTCAATATTTTTCCATTCAGGTGGATGAGAGTACTGATGTAGCACAATTTGCTGTTTTGATGGTTATTGCAAGATACTTGAAAGGAAATGAATTTGTAGAAGGACTTTTGCTTTGTCATCTTCTTTCCGAACGCACGACAGGTGCAGATATTTTTCATGCCATTGATTCCTACTTTACTAAAAAGGGAATAAAGTGGTCAAAGTGTTGTGGATTATGTACTGACGGTGGTAAATCTATTATTCTGGTCTCCTGGGATGTGTCAAAGCAGTAGCTCCTTTAGTACAGTGGACACATTGTTGTATTCATCGACAAGCTCTTGCATCAAAGTGCCTTCCTACTAGTATGAAAGATGTTTTGGACGATTCAGTAAAAGTGGTCAATTTCATCAAATCCCACCACACGAATTCAAGGTTATTCTCTTCATTATGTCAAGAAATGGGCAGTATTCACAAAACCCTACTCCTTCATACTGAGGTTCGATGGCTATCTCGGGGTAAAGTTCTTACACGTTTGTTTGAACTTAGGCATGAAGTCAAAGTGTTCCTTGAGAACCATCCTTTCCGACTTTCATTTAAATTTGATGATCATGAATGGCTTCAAAGCCTTGCATACATGTCCGATATCTTTTCGAAATTACACCAGCTAAATTTGTCCTTTCAAAACAGTGCAGTAACTGTATTCCAAGTTACAGACAAAATTGAGTCTTGAGAAAACTAGAATTTTGGAAATTATGTATTGAGAAAAACCAATCTGAAGTTTTTGAAACATTACACGATTTTCTCTCTGAAACGGATGCTCATGTATCTCTAGAAATTAAGAAGCAAATTATACAACATCTGAATGGACTGAAGGCTGCTTTCGACAAATATTTCCCCAAACGTAGAACAGACGATTACTGGATTGCGTACCCTTTCAGTGAAAAGTATTTCGAGTGTGCATCTCTATCACTTCAAGAAAAAGTTAAGTTGATCGAACTGAAAACGGATTCTTCACTTAAGCAAGAATTTGAAAAGAAATCCCTCATTTCATTCTGGGCTGACTTGAAAAAAGAATATCTTGAATTATTTAACAAAGCAATAACTATTTTGTTACCGTTCACAAGCACCGTACTAGTGGAGAGAGCTTTTTCGTCCTATACTTATTTAAAAAATAAGTACAGGAACAGACTTGCCAGTGTAAGTTCGAACCTGAGACTATATTTATCATCTTCCGATCCAGATTTCAAATTACTGAGTGCTTCCAAACAGCCTCAAGGTTCTCATTAATGTGCATCTTACATTTTTACATTTTTTAGTTTAACTAAATGTGTATAATTAGTATATATATGCATTATTTTGTAATAACTGGTAGAAATAAAAATATTTCAGTGTTATAGACTTATAGTTATTACTGTACCTAAATGTACATATTAGTAATTATAATATGCATATCATGGAGAAGGGGTACGTGGAGCACTGATGATAGGTCAGGTGGTACGCGAGTAAAAAAAGGTTGAGAAACGCTGTCTTAGAACATTATAAACATGTATTTTCTTACTATTTTTTCCAACATATTTAAATTCTACATATGTCATCCCATATATATCGCATGTGGTAGATTTAAAAAATCCATTTGATGTTTTACCATAATAATAACGTTTCAACTACTGAGGTTGGACGTTTTATATCCTTTTCCCTTTGATATTTTATTCTATTGATAAATTTTACACTAATGGTGCTTGAGTTGATTACGATGTGATGTCATTCAACCACCACCAATTGTAACTGCCACCAATATCAATTATAACCGGCTTAACCTATTACCATTTTCAATTGCCGCCGGTTCAGCGACTACTTTTTTTTAATCAAAAAAATCGTTTAAAATTTCAAAATGAAATTTTCTGTTTGCAATTTCCGTTTGTTTATTAATTTTGGAGCGTATTGTAGTTTTTTGGTATCAATTTTCATTTTATATGTAAAATCCGCTTTTAGTCTAATTCAAAGTCAAAGTTAATAAGAATCTTTCAAACTCCTCAAGCAAATTGGTTCTAAGTTGTTAGCTTTGTGAACATAAAGTATGCTTTGAGAAAATGTTTGCTATGCGGAAATTGATCCTAAAATAAATTTGTTAATAAATTCTAACCATTTTTTATTGTTTCAGATGTTAAAATCATGTAGAAAACTGAGTATGACCGTAAAATCACCAACGTTATCCGGTGGATTTGGTGTAATGGGTGGATGTAGTTGGCATACAAGACAAACGTGTTCGTGGATGGATCGTCAGGGAAGACCCGTTTCGCCACCCTTAGAATATAGCAGAGGGGGTCAAATACCGCCTCAAAGATACGGTTACGGAAGATCATCAAGTAAAGATAGAACGGTACGAAGGGTAAGTTATTCAAAGTAATTTAACAACTCGTAGACAAACACATTTAAAATTTATGCAATTTTCCCCTTTTTGTCGTCTTTATTAATTAAACCGCATTCTTACTATTCTTAGTATATGCAAGGGTAAATTCATTTTGTCGCAACTCGAACTATTCCGCCTTGATAAAAGGAGTTTGTTGAAAGTGGTCGAAGTAAATTGACTTTTACTCGAACAATGCACCGAGAATTCTAAAACGTTGAATTTCTCCGGTTTGTTCTACATCTTGAAATTTTAAGAAAACACTTTGATCTGGTTTTTTTTTTGGATAATAAGAAAACCGAAGATATATTTTAATTAATAATTTCTTTTACAGGTTGATTTATGCATAGAACCTGGACAAAGCTTAGGATTGATGATTAGAGGTGGTGTGGAGTACAACTTAGGAATTTTTATAACGGGTGTTGACAAGGATTCGGTCGCCGACAGAGCTGGGTTGATGGTAAATATTTAATATATCGTGAAATTTATAAACACAGGGTTCATGAATAACTCGCATCGTTTATTGACTGGCACTTTCTTTTTATTTGTTATTATTTGAAATTGAACCTTCCGATTTTGATTCAAATCGTTGCAAATTGGAATAAAAGTTGAAAATATCGCGCGGTGATATTAAATGGAAAATTGGGGTGGAATCGGGCACACGGAAAAGGTTGGTGGTAGCGTTAGGTGACGTGGCATCGATTACTGCTTTGGCCCCCTTAAAAGGGAAGCATTTACCACACCCACTTATTTCACCGTTTTCGACTATTTCCTTTACGTTGCTTTTTCGATGGGAAATTTTCAGTTCAATCTGTTCCGGTTACATTAAAATCCACTTTATCTTTCACTTACAAATTCATATCGAAACATTACAACTCTATTAAAAATCTATTTACTATATTCGAATACATATTAAAATACAGAACATCGGGTTTACATATTACTTGGATTTTGGAAATGTATGGAGAAAAAGGAGTTACAGATAACATAGATAACGAAAGATGACGTGAGCCCTGAGGAAATTACACTGAAAATTCTAAAGGACGAGTGAGTGCGCGAAGCAACGAATAGCGTATTAGGGCTGAAATGTGTTTCAAGGGAACCTAAATGCGAGCTACGCGGTCTACTTTCGTAGACAAGAAATGACTTATTGGGTCAAAGTATGAGGGGAAATGTATTTATCAATATTGGAGTGTGTGTATGCGATTAAAATTCGAAACGAATATGGAATAAAATGAATTATTGATGATATAAAACCTATAATTGACGAAAGCCGAAAGCCTCTTAAGATTTGGATTATTGGACTACTTAAAATATATAGGTTTCAAAACTGCTCACTGAACAAATTGTCAATAAAGTATATATGAAATTGCTTGCGCTCAACGGCTTCAAATACGTTTATTATAAGCTCAACAAAAAAAATTTCTTTACGGTTGAGTTGTCAAGAAATTGATTGATTAGAAAGCGTCTTGTGTTTTATGTCAAAGAATATATTAAAATCTCACTACCTCATATTCTTTAAGTTTATGAATTACGATCTATGCCATGTAAGAATGTCCTTTCGTAATAAATATAGTATAATTTATAGTGGTGGAACGGATATCCGGCAACTATCCGGCTAAAGCCGGATATTAAAAACCTATTACTTCATACTCCACCATTCACAGGAATTAGTATCTCTTTTAGGTGTTGGACACTGCAGATAATAATCAAGTTCAACCCCAATAGGACTTTTTTCATTGAATACAACTTTATTTATATCAGGTTTGCCATTAGCAACCTCATTGTTATAATCCCAATACGATATATAAAATCTCTTGTTGCAGTTTCGTCTAGTTTTCTTCTCTTTGGTTGTAATTTATCATCACATTCATTACTAACAGAACTGTCGCTGTTATGACTTTCGATTATTAATTAAAGTAGCCTCTTTTTAATGCAAAAAGCCGTTTTGAAAAATCGCTTCTAGTTTTTGAGAAATAAATTTTTGAAATGATCAACAATCTTTTCGAATTTTGCAATTTTCGCCGCATAAGTTTTAAAAATTCGTATAAAATCCAGTTCTTGGAATATGAGTATGAAAATTTCCCAAAGTGTTAATAAAAGTGTCTTCTTTCCAATGGATCAACCCGTTTTTTAAAATAGCTTTTAATTTTTGAGAAAACAATTGAAGGAACTTGTGGACATATCGCCAATTATTAATTATAGTATCCTATTTTTAGAATTACTTCGTGAGTTAAATCAGCATCAAAAAAGTTCATTTTGTACCTTGGATCCAAATAAGTTGATATATCTTATCAGCTTTCTTATTAATTTCATTTTTATTTAAATATCGCAATAATGTGGCAATGTAGAGTATCACTTCAGAAATTATAACCATAATGGCCGGATAGATATCCGGCTTTTCGCAAAATCACTATCCCTTCCACCACTAATAATTTACTACTTCGAAAAAAGTTGTTGAAATATAAAAGCATATGTATAGGATTAGATATCCTTTATAATACGTCTCGACTATTTCCCTCATTACACAAGGTTGAAATGGATTGACGTAATCGACACCATCACGCGATCAGACCGGAGTTACTCATGATGGTAACTCACTCATCAACCATTGACTTATGATTGCGTGATGTCCACCAAAAGTGACATTGTTTGACAAATGATATAAATGGAGCTCGTCCTCCAACTATCCATAATCCACGACGAATGAAAACTTAATAAATAATGAAATTATAAATAAATTTTCTAAGTGCTGCAAAAAGACAAGTCCAAATTTAAGTATTTATCATAATAGTATAATTATTTTATTGAATTCTACTGAATCAAGTTAATAAATTCTTTGTGGATCATCAAATTTATGCTAATCCCAGTGCAATTACATGATCAAACAAATATCTATTGTGATCTCATGAGGTATTCCAATACAATTAAACGAGAGATTTAATCATGGGATTGATTGCCATCAGAGAGTTAATGGATTTAATTAAACTTCTATTGCGTTACACATCATCTTCCAACAATTTAAACTTCACATAAATTTTATAAATAATAACCAAAAAGAAGCTGTCGATAATGAACACCATAATTTATGAAAAAAAATCGATAAAACAAGCAATAAATTCAAACTAACGCATGCAAATTACATTTCCGTATCTCGGTTACTGGTTTGGATCGAAATTAATTATTCGTGACCGTTTTAAATCACCCTCCCTCTATAACCCCTTATCGCGAACAGAGGTCAGTATCCCGACATCCTGACAGTAAAGAAGAGGTCGCATTGGTCGGTTAATTAGTAAATAGATCGGAATTAAAGCCGTTATCACGCCGCGCCCTTAAATGAGGGGATCGAACCGCCTCTGCCGACGTAAATAGAACGAAAGCTGTGATCGAGCTTTCAACCGGATTAAACCTCAGCATCCACCTCCACACACATTTTTTTTATTTTTAATAAAATCATTTTGTCACTAATAATACCTCCATCGCTAATGGATTGAGAATTGACGTAATTTGTGGCTAGATAATGTATCATCTTTCATGTTAAAACGAAGAATGAATTTTTTTATTGGGGTTTTAGGTTGGAGATCAAATTCTCGAAGTCAATGGACAGTGTTTTCTCGATGTCACCCACGATGAGGCCGTTTCGCAGTTGAAGTACCACAAGAGGATGTCGCTGTTAGTGAGGGATGTCGGGAAAGTACCTCATTCTTGTACGGCTTATGATAGGGAATGGGATTTATGTAGTCCGGGGTAAGTTGTTAAGTGATTTATTGATTAAAAAAAATTTAAATGGTTTGTATGATATAAAAAAAATTTGTTTAGAAGTAGGGCAGCTCAAGCAACAAGAAAATGGGCAGCATCAATGCAAATGGTTGAAGAAAAAGCAAGATGTTTATTATCCAAGCCTGAATTTACAACACTGTGTTATTATACTGATGAATATTCCGCTAGACATATGACCATAGATGCCTTCGTACAAGTTCTGACCGAACTACTCAATACCGCTGAAAAGGTATTCATGCCATTTCAAATTCAAATGCCTAAAATTACATTTATGCATTAACACAAAACCGTCTCAATCGATTTTCAGTACACACTAATGACTGAAATACGCGAAATAGTCGCCCTGGAAGATCGGATGCGTTTCGATGAGCTAGTTTATAGAAGCGAGGTAGACATGCCAAGAAGAAGAGATCCTAGAGAACACGATTACAGACATTCCAGGGTGAGTAAAACTTGAAGATATATTCATAAAAGGGTTGTGTATAGAAACGGATAAAACGAAAATAAAAAAAATGTTTGTGGGAGAATGTTCTCCTTTTTACAACGGTAATAAAGAATTCCTCTTGCGTTCGCGCAAACACCATAAAAAGGCCCTAATGGTGAGCAATCTACAAGAGAACTCCCATTAAAAGTCGGGAATAGCGGTGAACTCGTTTAAAGGGCGTCGACGACTACGACCATGTCTTGTAATTAATTTAAGTAATTAAGAACTGGTACGCAATTTGTATTTCATTTAAACACAATTCCTTTTTTAAATAACGCTTAACACATTGATTAAGAATTGAGATTTCTTATTGTTTTTTTTTATTCCATTTGTTACCGTCTCTAGAGAAAAGGAGTCCCGGATTCCAACCACTCTATATTAATGCCCGGCTATGACGTAAGTAAGAGCCAAGTTTAAAAATGTCTTTTATTTATTCTTTATTATATCCTGTATCTTTCGTTTTATTCGAGAGATTTTTTTTACCTCTTAGAAATATGTGGTGCTTGCTGCAACATGTCAACTACAACAGATCTACAGCAAGACTATAAAAAGTTGATGATAAATAATAACGATTAGATTATTTATTGTGTAGTAAGAGTAAAATGAAAATGAGTCACTCAAAAGCATTTTTTATCAATCGCCCAAGTTTGAATTCGTAAACTTATCGAAATCGATGATACGGTTTGGAATTTCCTCACGTTCGTTGCGATGATCTTTCTGAATAATAAAATAACTGTATTGACAGTGGTGTATCTTTTCAACTTTAGTATGTTCAACCATTTCAAAGGTAGATCGAAAACTGCATTACTCTTAGTATCGTCGATTTAAATTTAGTTTTATAACTTTGAGTTGCGTTGTAAATTATGACTTTTATATTAACATACGTTATTTGTTGGAGTAAATCACTGATTACTAGTGATGGAACGGATAGTGATTTTGTGAAAAGACGGTTTGGTTTATTGGAAAGAGGACACTCCTATTAACACTTTGGGATTTTATACGAATTTTTAAAACTTAATCGGTGAAAATTGCAAAATTCGAAAAAATTGTCGATTATTTCAAAAATTTATTTCTCAAGAATTAAAAGTGACCTTTCAAAACGGCTATTTGCATTAAAAAGGGGATACTTTTATTAATAATTGGTAATATTTCCATAAAGATCCTTCAAGAAATGAATTTTATAGCGAATTTTGAATGTTATCGATGAAAATTGCAACATCGAAAATGTTATCAAAACTTCAAATATTGTTTTCTCAAAAACTAAAAGTTATTTTTCAAAACGTGTTGGTTCATTGGAAAGAGGACACT